TTCAAAATTTGGGGAGGAATGGAACACAACTGTAGAGTTTTCTTATTAACATATTTTCTGCTTTTGTTTCTGTTCTTATCTTTATGATCATGTTAAACAAATATTATTTCAGAATAGCTTGTTATGATCAAAAGATGGGTTTTTAAGCCTCATGGTAAGCATAAAGCAAAAATCTATAATAGACAAACTAAAAATAATAAGCAAGGAATCAAAACATAGTACTAGAGTAATTCACTTAAGCACAAAGGAAGACTATAAGAGGAGGAGAATAAAGGAACTACACAAAATTAGAAAATAAGTTACATAATGGCTGAAATTAAGACCTTATCTATCAACAATCACATCAAATTTAAATGGATTGAATTCTCCAATGAAAAGACACAGTGACTGAACAGAGTTAAAAAAAAAAAAAGCAAGACCCACCTATATGTTGCTTACAAGAAACTCACTTCACCCCTAAGGAAACACATAAAATGAAAGTAAAAAGTAAGGAATAAAATATTCCATGCAAAATGGATCAAAAAGAGAGTATAAGTGCCCATTCTTCCTTCAAATAAAATAGACTTTAAATGAAAAACAGTAAAAAGAGACTAGAGGCTATTATATAATGATTGATAAAAAAATTCTAAATATATATGCACCCAAATATTGGAACACACAATATACAAGATAATATTAGTAAACTTAAAGTGAAAGAGAGACTTCAATACAAAAATGGTTGAGGAGCCGGGCACAGTGGTACATGCCTGTAACTCCAGCTGCTCTGGAGACTGATACAGGAGGATTGTGAGTTCAAAGCCAGCCTCAGCAACTGAGAGGCACTAAGCAACTCATTGAGTCCCTGTCTCTAAATAAAATACAAAATAGGGCTGGCGATGTGGCTCAGTGGCAGTGGTTAAGCACCCCTGGGTTCAACCCCCAGTATGAAAACAAAAAAGAAAAAAAAATGAAGGAAAGAAGAAAGATCTCAAACTTATCATTATACCTAGGGGCTGTGGCTGTGGCTCAGTAGTACCACACTTGCCTGGTGTATGTGAGGCACTGGGTTTGATTCTCAGCACCGCATATAAATAAATAAAATAAAGGTCTATCAACAACTAAAAAAATATATTAAAAAAACTTATCATTGCACCTCAAGGAACTTGAAAAACAAGAGCAAACCAAACCCATAATTAAAACAAATAAATGAATTCAGCAAAGTTGTACAATACAAAATCAACATATAAAATATGAGACGTTGGAATAGGCAAGTATTTTTTTGGTCAAGATCTCAAAGCACAGAAAATGGAAGCATTAAAAAACAGGCAAATGGGATTACATCAAATTAAAAAGCTTCTATACATCAAAGGAAACAATGAACAGTGAAGAGATAACCAACAGAATGGACAAAATATTTGCAAACGATAAATCTGACAAGAGGTTAATATCCAAAATATATAAGGAGCTTCAAAACTCAATAAGAAAAAACATTTAAAATGGACAATAGATCTAAATAGACATTTCTCAAAGACATACAAATGACCAACAGGTGCATGACAAAATGTTCAACATCAGTAATTATAAGGGAAAATGCAAATCAAAACCACAATGAGACATCACTTCACTCTAGTAAGAATGGTTATTATAAAAAAAATTAAAGATAACAAGTGTTGGTGATGAAGGGAAGAAAAAGAATCCTTGCACACTATTGGAAGGAATGTAAATTAGTACAGCTACTATGGAAAACTGTATAGGGATTCCTCCAAAAACTAAAAATAGAAAATAAAATAAAATCCCATTCCTGCATATATATCCAAAAGAAATGAAATCAGCATTTCAAAGAGCAGTCTGCATTCCCATGTTTATTACAGCACTATTAACAATAGCCAAGAAATGGAAAGTTAAGTGTCCACCAAGAGATAAATGAATAAAGAAAATGCAGTACATATACACCATGGAATATAATTCGCCCACAGAAAGAATGAAACCTGCCAGGTACAGTGGTGCACACCTATAATCCCAGCAGCACAGGAGACTGAGGCAGGAGGATCACAAGTCCAAAGCCAGCCTCAGCAATGTAGGGAGGCCCTAAGCAACTCAGCAAGACCATTTCTCAAAATAAAAAAAAAATAAATAAAAATTTAAAAGGCTGGGGATATAGCTCAATGGTTAAATGCCCCTGGGTTCAATCCCTGGTAACTCCTGAAAAAATTTTAAAAAGAAAGAAACAAACAAATAAACCTGTCATTTGTGACATAGCCAAGCACAGAAAGACAAGTTCCACATGATCTCACTCATATGTGAAATCTAAAAATTTTGATCTCATAAAAGATGATTAGAATGGTAGTTATTAGGGACTGGGGTTGTGGCTCAGTGGTAGAGTGCTTGCTTAGCACATGTAAGGCACTGGATTCCATTCTCAGCACCACACGAAAATAAAATAAAGGTATTGTGTCCATCTATAACTAAAAAATAATTTTAAAAAGAAAGGCCAGGGAAGGTAGGAGTAGGGCAGGGATGCAGAATGTTAATCAATAGGTACTGGATGACGGGAGCAAGAGGTTCTAGTGTGCTATTGCACACTAGGGTGATCCTAAAATAACAAAAAATAATGTACTGTACCATTTTAAAAATATAAGAAAGGCAAAATTTTGAGTGTTGAGTATAGAGCAGAGGGAGATGAAGTTTGGGTTTTCCCTCAGAGCTACACAATCAGAAGAATTTATCAAAATGACTATATTTAGTTATTACTGCATGTATTCTGTTTGCAGACCAGAAATGGTTGGATGACTAATAAAGACAAGTGTTATCCATCATGTACCACCACAAGAATAGGATCCTAATTAGAATAAGTAATACTCCATTTATGTATAATATGTCAAAATATACTTTCAAAGTTTTCACCAGAAAGAAATGATATCTATTTGAGGAGATAAACAAGCTTAGCTTGATTCAAAAATTATGCAGTGTACACATGTATCAAAATCTAACATGGTACTCCATTAATATAGATAATTTTAATTTTTATCAGTTAAAATAAACTTTAGAAAATATATGAACCCTTGATAAATACAACAACTGTGATGGATCTCAATGAATTATGGTGAATGGGAAAAATAAGTCTCAAAAAGGGTATTAGTACATGATCCCACCTATATACCATTTGTGAAATGATAAAATCATGGAGACAAAAATTAGATGTCAATGACAGGAAAGTGAAGGAAGGGAAATTGCTGTGGCTATTTGTTGAGAGCCACAGCCAAAGGGGCCCCAGAAAACTTCCAGCTGCCAGCAAACTCCCAGCTGCCGGCTGATGATTGGCTCACAGTGGCCCCAGCAACATCTAGCTGATTGGCTCCTCTGCGGCGATGTTCATTGGGCTGTTTCCCTGCCCTTCA